GCCCCCCATGGTACATTAGTCCCCGGAAGCCAAGTATTTCTGACACAGTGTGCTCATCCAGGAATCATGCAGCCACCCCACCCAATAGACTTACAGCAACCACTGATATGGCGCGGGACCCCTGGGCTTCACGGTCTGTTTATTGAACACAGAGATTTATTTGTCCCAATGGCCACACTGATACCTGGCTTAGGATCCCCCAGAGACCCTCATGGCTTACCCACGATCCTCCTCTCTCCTGCCTGGTACCCGGGGAGGTTAATTAAGGACTCATTAATTTACAGCCGGTTGGCGTGTGCCAGGCCTCGGTGTTCTGCTGGATCTTGCCAACGCTCACAAACGTCCTGTACCCATCATCCTTGCACGAAGATCCTCTCCTACTGGACGTTCTTGGCACCCAGCGGCACGTCCAACAGAATCTCTATTTATAATACTTGTTACTTTCCTTCTGCCTAACCTTGAGGAACGCGGCTATATGGCGTGACGCGCGGCGAAACCTACTGCCTGCCTGTTTTCCATTCCCTCCGCTCCCTCTATACATTGTAACTTTGTAACTGGACTTTGTAACTTTGTAGCAAGTCACAAGGTGAGAGTCTGCAGCAGGGGGCTGATCTGTGTCAGACGTTTGTGGCAGAACTGGCACCAGGATTTACACTGACCAGTTACATTGCTGGTCAGTGTATATACCTCTGTTACATTGCTGGTCAGTGTATATACCTGTGTTACATTGGTGGTCAGTGTATATACCTCAGTTACATTGCTGGTCAGTGTACTGTATATACCTGTGTTACATTGGTGGTCAGTGTACTGTATATACCTGTGTTACATTGGTGGTCAGTGTATATACCTGTGTTACATTGGTGGTCAGTGTATATACCTCTGTTACATTGCTGGTCAGTGTATATACCTCAGTTACATTGGTGGTCAGTGTATATACCTGTGTTACATTGGTGGTCAGTGTATATACCTCAGTTACATTGCTGGTCAGTGTATATACCACTGTTACATTGCTGGTCAGTGTATATACCTGTGTTACATTGCTGGTCAGTGTATATACCTCAGTTACATTG